TTATTTTAAATATTTCAAATTATATCCTAATGGGCCTTTCGCTCACGTTTTATGTTTTAAATGTTAAACCCCTCCCAGGAGACTCTAGGAGCGGGGCACAGTAGCGGGAGTAGCTGAGTGGTGCTACGGAACGATCAAGTGAGGATTGTGTTCATCCTCTGACATAAAGTGCAAGGAATATGTAAGAATTTGTAATAAATGACATTTGAATTTACTAGACTGTGGATGATGTCTATTGTAATTGATTATTTACATGTGCATGTATGTACGATACTGTATGTCCTGTGGGGTGGAGCCCTGTATGTCAGAGGCTCCGGGATTATGTCGTTTATTTATATTTTTATGCAGTTAAGTGTGGGACCCGGTTGGGAATCTGCTTTATTAATCCCAAATCGAGTTCCACGTCACCCACCCCGTTTGGGGGGCGTGACAAGATCTAGGATTTACCATTAAAATTTAGACGGTTTTTTTTCAAGTGATTATAACTTGATAAATCTTGGTAAATCATGGATTTACCTAGATTTACTATGTATATCATGAATTTACCATTGGAATTTGTACGGTTCTTAAAAAAAGTGACGCTAACTTGGTAAATTTAGGATTTACCATTAGAATTTGTATTGTTCTTTTTCAAGTGATTCTAACTTAATAAATCCTGGACATACCTGGATTTGCTATAAAAAAAAAAAGGGAAAATAGCAAGAAAATGGTAAAATTAGAAAATTTAAAATTTAAAAAAAATGAAATGGTCTATTAATTTCTATACATTAGTATATTTGCTATTTACTGCTATAAATTTTAAATGTAGGCCTTTCATATAATTTCCCATAAATTACTAGTCTTAAATGAAACCAAAAGTAGGATAAGTAACTTAATGGAAAATGTTTTCATTTGAGCTTATGTGAATTGAGAATTAAGAAATAAAAGAAGGTGCTGAATAATTCTATAGTATGGTATGAAAATATGCCAGTGACATAATACAATTATGAACTCTCAGATTTTTACAAATTTTCATAAATTGTAATAAACTCTATATTATATTATTCTAATATGAATTAAGTTACAAATTATATCCTATAGTACTTATATTTGCACCCCAAAGATTTATAGATGCCCCCACTAATTAAAGCTCATCTAATAAAGATTTAAAAAATCTATCATTTTATAAATTTAATTTGACCCTTTTTATACCCCTACCTAATTTCAATCTTAATTTGATTTATAAAATAATATAACCCCTTTCAACTATTAATATTATATTTAAAAAAAAAATAATGCAGTTTCCTTTACTTTTATTTATCAACTATCTTCGTCTTACCTCCTTCTCCTTCTTCTACTTCTTCTTCTTCTTTGAACAAGAAAGCACAAGAACAACTCTCCGAGTTTAATCCTCATAAAACTGCTACTTTTGATTGTTTTGGCTAATTATATTGCTAATAAGCAAAATAATGAAGATTTGTTCTCCGTTTCTTGTTTTAAGATTGATTTTGGTTTAGTATAAAATAAAAGGTGGGGTATGTTTGTTTTATTCTTTTAGAAAATACTTTCTAATTATTATAATTAATCTGAGTGTATGCTCTTTATTTTTTTGAAAAAATATTATGTCCATTTATAATTAATGTGGGGGTATGTTAATGGGTTTTAATGTAATTTTAATGCAGGATAAAATTGTAATACATATAAAATATGAATTGGTGGGGGCATGAACTTTGATGGATGTAAATATAATTACTCTATATCCTATCTACGTGGACAAATTGGGCTATAGTTCCATTGATCAAACTAAAAATATATTTTCTTTTTGCTCGTAAAAAAGATTAAATCAAATCACTCATAAATAGTTTGGTGTGGACTGTTTAGGTTTTAATTGTGTAAAACCTCTTTTATGATCCATATAAACTAACATAAACAAAAAAATCTTTTAAGTTGAAGGACCCCTAATAATCTAAAATTAATTAATAATTTGATTTGATTTGATTTAAATTAGATGGTTTCAATAATTTGATGAATTTTTTAAACACTTCTTTAAATGTTAACGTAATTCTAAAAAGAAATTTTTCTAGAATTTACCTTTACAAATTAATGTGAGAGAAAAAAATTAAAATCATGAATTTAAATAAAATCTTATTTATTTCACTAATTTAAATTTAAATTTAAATTTTAATATAATTAAAAATTATAATAAAATATTATATTTAATTTTTTTTATTATAATAAAAAATTTTCATATAAAATTATATCTAAATTTAAATTAAAAATTCAAATAAATAAAATAAAAGCAATGTGTCCTTATTTCCACCACATGTTTTTTCCCCCTCTGATTTCTAGGTAGTGATTTGTACGAACTATCACCTCAGCTCCCACACCGTGTCATCAAGTTATTGATGCTGACTAATATTGACTTGATTCAATAAATCTCTTTTCCAGCTATGCTAGAAAACTTCTCTCTCCTACTCATTCCTTTTTAGAAGAAAAACAACAGTTCGAGAACCAACATAACCCACTAAAAACCGGACACAACAAAGCCAAGTGCCCACCACAACTGAAAATTGCTATGATAGTTCCCAAAAACGACACCGCGTTCTATTTTAGCATGCGTTTGGTAATAAAATTCGTGTTATGATTCTAATCATAATTCGTGACTCACTATAATATTTTTTCTCATAAAAACTACACATAAAATAAAAATAATTCTAAATCTATAAACTAAACGTTCACTTATTGTCTTTTAAATTCTCTCTCTCTAGTTTCCACCTAACTACAACGATTTGTTTTTGTCGTAATTGTGTAACAAGTGCACTTGGTTCAAAATATCCGCTGTTTTGTTACTTTCGTTGCCATAAATTTTTATTCAATTGCTTCGGCCACAAGGCAATAGGAATGAATAATGTGTATGTTTGGTATTAGTTGCAATTAATGGAGAAATATGCTGTTAGATAATGATTTTGTTTGTCAATGGGTAAAGTTGTATCTCTATATATCACCAAAAAATAAATAAATAAATAAATAAATAAATAAAAGGCTTTATTTTGGAGTCAAATCAAATCATGCAAAATGGTGGGAAATGAAGGGTCAAATCATTTCATTTCATACTATAATACAATGGAGAAGAAAGAATAAAATCTTGAATGGTATGCATGTGAGACATTAGAATGTGCATTTGCCTGCTTTTAGTGTACCTTCACTTGTGAATGAAGACCAACAAAAACTAATGGGAAATTTTAGTTAAGGATTTGGTGGGCACAAGATTTGTTCACTCTTTTATCGTGCACATACTGCGAATCAAAGAAATTTTTGAACGTTTGGACACGCGAACAGTTTAACTAAAGTCCAATATAACAATGAACTGAAATTTATGGTTTGTTTAGTTGATAATTAAAAAGAGGGTTATTTTTATCATTAGTCTCAAGAATATTCACTTGTCTCACTTAATCTCTTAACATTCATTTCAGAAGTCTAATTATCATGATAAGTTTTTGTTTCTAGTTCGAAAAGGAGATCATTGGTGTCATCTCACCATCCATCTGCTTCATCATTTTAGAAGTTACTAGGTTTCACTAACAAACCAGAAAACAAAAAACCAAAAACAAAAACAAAAACAAAAAACCTGACTTAATTGTTCTCAAAAGATAGACCAATTTTCACTCATATTACCGCACAACATATTAGTTGGACAGTGATCCTAAAATAGAGTTGTGGAGTTTCTAAAACTGGCTGCATCCTCAGATAAAGAAAGACATCATGACCACTACACCAACACATTGATGGTTACAACGACATTTTAATAATACACAATTTTAACACCCCTCCCTTAGCAAAGCCAAAAAGAAAAAGAAAAAAAAAAAGATTCCTCATCGAACAAAATGATGCCCATGTCACTTGGCCAAAGAAGATTGTGAGACATAATGTCCACATAGCAGAGGGCGATACATTCATATCTTACATGGTCCCAAACATCGATTTGTATACTTTATTTTGGGGCGCTTCACATTCTTTTTCCTTCCTTTTACAGAACTCCAACCGTTGAAAATGCTTAACCTCCTATCTATTGTTAGATAGATTGCTAATAGCCCATGTAGCCGAACAATTTGGTTCATTTTTTAGTCCTTTTATATGGACCATTTACATCTTAATGAAATGACAAATAATTAAAGTTATCATTTAAGGAGCAATAAATATCCACATCTATGGGTTAAAAGTCACCAATGGACGTGGATTACCCACAAAAACAAGTTAGTGTTGTAAATGCCATGGAATTAAAATGAACTTAATTCATAGCAGGCAACATAAATATAACCAAAAGCTCAAGGATATCAAAGACAAAGGTTAGGCAGCCATTAAACTTCAATTACAAATGCAAAACAGAGAATAGGGACACCAGAACAGATCTATCCATTCTCCAGCTTTGAGTCTCCAATTTAAAAGGTGTATTTAGTACAAATCCTTCAAACAGTTCATAACAAAGCAAAAGGCATGCAAATTTTGAATGAAATGGAAATTTGATGACAATATATTACCTATCCAATTTCGATTTGCATATTTCGCCAATCGGTGCCCTCATTTTAAATGAAGATCAACCCACATCTCAATGAAGATTTGTTGACAATGATTGATTAATGAAATTAAATTTAATGAAGAAGTACAAGACTGTTCTCTGAGTATAGGAGTCACCGACGACCATATGGAGGAGTCATACTGTTTCCAGGCTGGCCCAGTGGCGGTCTGGGCCTTGCATACTCCGCGAATATGACCCAACCATCTAGAAACTACAGAGCACAAACAAAGAGAAATTAATCAGTACCAAAATAGAAGTCCTTTTTTTGAAGAGTGACCACACTGACAAGGTCAGGTGTAGTGTGGAACGAAATGTAAATCTAAGTGAAAGCCCAGTCTCTTCAGCAAAGGGAGGAAAAGGCCCAAATGCCACTATATTTAAGAGATTCAGAATGATAATGCTCGTTGAAAATATACATTCTAAAGTAAAAGCTGAGAAAACCATACGCACGTCCCCAATATAACCCACAAAATTCCCACGACAGAAAAATCTCAAGTTACTTGTCTCAATTCCATCAACTTCTGCGTTTCCTTTTTCTTTATTCATTTTTTTCTTTAAAGAGGAAGAGATATGTTACGTTCATGTGGAACTTCTATTGAAAAGATGGAAGAAGTAGCTATGTGATTCATTGTTTTCTTCAAAGTTTACTTGGACTATGAAAATGGAGACGGATAATTGCTATGTGATTCGATGTTCCCCTTTCTTCTTCAGAGAAAGAGAGGGGTCATATTATGCAAATATTGAAACAGCTGAGAAAGAATGCAAAAGAAGGGCCTCTTATGATACTAAGGCCTCTTATGATACTAAGGCCTCTTATGATACTAAGGAGGTATGGAACATACACAGAAAGTCTGCACTACAATAATCTTCCCAGGTTGTCTAAGGTCCTTGTCAACTACTCCTGCACATTTCGATGTTTGACAAAAGCAAGAAAAGGCAGACCTTCTAGCCGCACATTGGTTCATAAAACAAATGAAGATAAATCCCTTAACAGACACTCTAACTTCAATGTGTCCTAGCTGGTCAGAGTAGCTTAGCATGAACTATAAGACAAGCCCCTTTTCATCTGCTTAAGCGAATGAAAAGTGTTGGAAAAAAAAATGTTACCAACTCACCTTGCCATCCATACCCTCAATGCCTTTTGCGGCATCTTCTAGAGTAGTGTATTTTACAAAACCAAATCCCTTTGAGAATCCTGATACACGATCAGTCACCACTCTAGCTGTAAATGGCATAATGTTCATTGTCAATGATTAGCAAATATAATTTCCACCAGAGGTAGGGAGGGGAAGGGAGAGAGAGAAAGAGACACAACATACCATGTTCTACTTCACCAAACTGAGAAAAAGCTTCATGTAATTTCTCTGTCGTTGTACGTTTACTAAGTCCTGGAGGAAACAAATATATATTTAAGATCAAATATCAAAATGCTGAATACCGAAATAATATTTGAAATACGAGATGACAAACAACATGAAACCCGAAAAAAAAAATGAAATGATGTCGCAATAAATAATACATGCCAAAGAGTAAACTAGGTGGAAAAACAAATAGAATCCACAGTTTTTATAATTCACATACATCTCCAACCCTAATTGACAATAAAATTCAGATCCATTTCTCCCGAGTCATATCCAAAAACCAGAATAATGAAGACCTAACATTAACAAACATTGCCCGACCAACAACCAGTCAACCGCCATAACACATTCAATTTCTAGTCACTACATGTTAATCCCTAAAAACTTCCATCCTTTAGGTACTCATGCAATCTAAAACGAGAGAATTTTTCCCAACAAAGAGTTTGGTGCAGTGTCTTTACAGTTATTGGAGATGCTCAATGGGTGTTTTTAGTAACTGTGAACCAATAACATTGAAAATGACAATATGAACCAAAAGTAGTTCTTTTCCTCCGGAAAAACTCAAACTATTTTTAGTTCATTAAGAACATGTACTTCCACTTAATTGCTCAAAATTCTTATCTTCTGGCCTCAAAGTGAAAAAAGTAAACATTTTTTTTTAATTTTACACTATGAATGCCACAAAAATTAAAGCCTTTTAAACGCTGAAGCGAGAAACGCAGACAAAGATACAAACTTTGTTCAGCTTCCGAACCAACAAAACACAAATAGAAAACCTAGAATCCAAATTAACAAATACCCAACCGAAAACAAAAATGATTTCCAAATATCTATCAATATAGACAAATGAGAAAGTCACAGACTCACAGAGAAGAAAAATGGAGGGAAACATGAAAGGAAAAGAGAGAGAGAGAGAGAGAAAGTACCGGAGACGAAGAGGTTTGCGCTCGGATCAGCCTGCGGTCGAGCCGGAGCCTGAGCCGCGGCGTGTATCGGCGGCGGAATGAAAGGGGACGTGGAAGTCGTGGAGAAGAGCCGTCTGACCAAGCCGCGAGGTGCAGCCACCGCCGATCGCAGAGCCATTTCCTGTCGCTGGGGTTTAAGCTTAAACCCTCTCTCTCTCTCTCTCTCGACTCTCTCTCTCCGTGTTTTGTCTTAAAAGTGGGAAAAGAGATTGATTGTGGCATGCTGGGCAAATAAAAGAGAAGGAGCCGAATTACAGAATTAGCCTCCTGTTTAATTTATATATTTAAATTTATTATTAGGATTTCAGCACAAATGACTTTTTTAAAGAATATTTTTCATAAATAGTCAAAGTTTTATAAAATTGTAAAAATAACAGTTTTTATTAACTTAACGATTAATTATTAATTGACTTAGCGGTCAATCATGATTGATTCTAATTTATCACTAATTAAACTCGATTATTCTTTTTTATTAATCAACACTAGTTAACAATTAATCAAAATTAATTAATAATTATTCACTTTTAATAAACAAATTACATAAAATTAATAATGAATCAGTTAATCATGATTGATTTTGGGTCAATCACTGATTGATTGTGATCCATAAGTCAATCACACTGATTAACTCATGTAAACAAAACAGTCATTTTTATATAATAAAAAAATTTGACAATTTATGAAAATAGGTGGTTAAAAAAGGCCATCCAACGTAATTTTCCTTTATTATTTACCATTTAATTCTCTTTTTATTTTTATTTATTTTTATCTTTTTTACAAAACACGGGATTTTATTTTTATTTTGGGTAGAATTGACACTCTGTTTGGTAAGAATGAAAGAAAATATGAGAGAAAGGAAAATTATAATGCATAAAAAATTAGAATAATAGAAAAGATTTTGATTTTCCCTTAACTTGTTTAGTATGATAAGAAACAAAGAAAATGAATCTACCTTCTCTTGTTTGGTATTGGAAGTGAAACTAAAGAGATAGAAAGATTATTATTGGTGTAATTACTTTGTTGCCCAAATATTTTTTATTAATAGTCTTTTCTAATAAAAGTATAAATAATACAGTATTTAACATCAAATTAACTAGAAAAATTCATGTAACTTATACATATATTCCATCTATATTATGTATATACACACACATATGTATATAAAGGTACAAAAATATAGTTCAACTTATATAGCATTAATGCATCAGTAATTTTTCAACGTTTAAATACAACAAAAGAGTAGCTAGCTACAATAACATGCTAATTGAAGTTTTTGTCCCCATGTATATGAAGTCTTGGAGCATCTCCATAGTTGTCCCCAATATAACTTGTTGAAGGTTCAAATACAACAAAAAAGTGACTAGCATACTATGCATCCACTATTATAAAGTAAGCGAAATTTACAAAAAGTTCCACAAAAGTATTAGTTTGTATGGTCATATATATTTCCTAACATTCACCTGCAGTCAAGTATCAACAAAAAGCATATGTGACCAACTAAGTACCATGTAGATATATTTACCAAAAGGGTTATAAACGGGTGTGACTACTAAACCTCTAAACCATATGATTTCAGTCTTCATTGTTGTACATCATCTTCAAGAGCAACTCATAGCGACTATGACTTGGAACTGCAAAGAAAGCTCGCTTTTGTGATGCACTTTTAATTAAAAATAGAAAAGCTTCCAATTGAAGATTATTAGAAACTCCAATGTTCATTACTTCAGCATAAACTTCTTCTTCTGAATAGATGCATGGTTATGCTTTTTCAGCAATAACATTACCCTCTCAAATTGCATCAGCAACATTACTCATGCCAGAGTGAAGCATTCCAATATGCTTGTCAAGTGAATCAATCATGGAAGCTTTTCTTTTTACACTTTTGGATGCATTTGTAACTTGGGAATTATTCTGTGGGGATAAGGGCTCAACAATATCAATATTTACCTCATCAAATTGTTCAACACTGACAAATTTGTTAGTGCTAGTTTTCTTCTGCCATTGTCGAACTTTCTCTTTTGCACTAGCACCATCCTCACCATTAGCTCTATCATTTGCAAAAAGCACACTTAATTTATCATAAGATTGGATCTCAGTGTGCCTCCATTTCTTTGCATTAGGTTTAGTCTATAAATTTACACCAAGAATGATAAAAATACGTATAACATGTAAAGTATAAAAGCTTATATATAATAGAAAATATAAGCATAAATTTTAAACACAAAAAAAAAAAATGAGTACATAAAAAACAAACCTCAATGAGAGTCTTCCACACTTCTGACTCTGCTTCAAACATCTTAGTTAATGGACTCCAAGCAAAACCGCTTAAGCCTTTGAACAATTCATGACATGTATAAAAATTAAGCCTTGTTCGGCAATCTCAAAAACTCAAAAAAGGGTAACTTGAGTTCAAACTTTATTCAAGTTCACGTTCTTTTAAGTTTGAACTCAAGTTTAAACTTGAGTTTGAACTCGAGTTTGGGACTAAAACTTAAGTTCAAGTTTCCCCTTCAACTCGAACTCAAATTATTGAACATTATTTTTTCTATTCTTAAAAATGCTATAACTTTTTCGTTTTAATCCTGATTGAGATGATTTTTTTTTCTATGCGTTGACAACGAAAAGACGAATAAAACCCCACCCATATACCCTATTAAAATTTTTCATCACCATTGAGTTTTTTTTAAAATACTATCTAAATACAAATTCAAGTTTGACTCACTCAAACACACACTCAAAAAGATTCTTATCTCAAACCATAACTCAAATGTACACAACAAAACACAAACTCAAGTTACAACTTCAACTCAAGTTATAACTTAAATTCAACTCAAGAACTACACTCAAGTCACACTCCAAAAGAACAGGCCCTTAGTGTCTCGAAACAATCCACACAACCTAGCAAATGCTTGAGGCCCCATTCGAATTATGTCCTGACATTTTTCATTTACGCTAAGTTGAGTTGTGAGTTCTCTTCTCACACTATCACTTTCTCTACTTATGCTGACAATGCTCCTATCAACATAATGTGAGTAATGGTGTAATTGCATTATATACATCATCTGTATCTCATAGCAAACAACTTGTACACCAGCCCTCCGCCTGCATCTTTTTCAACTTCTAAAAAGTATTGTAACAGTTTCTTCATGAATGTCTAGTTGATTACACTCCAAAACATTATCCTCTTAACCTTCCTTGAAACTCCATTCAGAATTTCTCATCTATTTGGAATGGTTCTAATCAAAATTATATATAGGATATTAATGCAATATATCTTAAAAATAAAATATAAATACGAGAATCAATTTTTTGCTAAAAAGAGTTGATAGTATTCTTAATCAGCACATATATTCTCCAACTATGCACGCAAATTTAATTATATTCACATATTAAGGAAAACTTATAACAGTTATAACATAAAATTCATTATATAGAAAGAATTAGAGCATAATGTTAGAAAAATATAAAAAAATATAAAAAAACAAACGTCATGAAAATCCAAATAAAATACAGCATATCCCATTGAACATAGGCAACTACCATAAATCTGAATTAGAATGAAGACGTCATGACAACAATTTAGGGAAAAAAAACAGGGAGAGACTTTGCAATAAATAGAAGATATTCACATTTAATTCAAAAACTCATAGCATTAGAATCCATTAGAGAGCTTCCTAAATTAACATTTAGCCAATTCAGTCCTTAAAAAAAATCAGAACTTCTCAAATAACATACAACGTTGATATTACACAAGTAAAAACAAATTTTGGACTAGTAAATTGTAAAAAAATAAAAAATAAAAAATAAAAAACACCATATTTACAATACTAAATAAATACAATTGAAAAAAGAATTCAAAGTTGAACATCGTTAAAAAAACTCCATTTCAATCTAATTGCCCCAAACCTATTTGACCTTTACATAAATTTGATTGATTAATTGTTAGCAATTATATATTGATACAAAATACCCATCCAAAAATACAACTAAAAATCTATGCCTTTGCAAAAGTACATGAATCAATTCAATCTAATTAAATTATTTACGGTCAAGCAAAAAAAAAAGTCAAATTACCTACGAACTAACTTATAAAATTTACGAGAGAGAACAAAGAAAAATTTACAAGAAAGAACTAAGGGAGTAAGAGATTCATCCACAAAACTAATTTTAAAATTGAAGTAAATTTAGACCACGTACTTTCAATCTTCAACAATAGAACTTACAAATAATGGGAAGTTTTTATGTTCGTGAAAAGTGAGCTGAATGGAGAGAGAGCTTCATTTATCTTTTCTTTTTGGCAAAAAAAACCACGAACTTTATCCGCCAATTTTAGATGAAAAGTGAGGACAATTCAATAATTTGACTTCATTTGTGTAGTTATCCATATTTTTCTTTCTAAAATCCGCCTACTTTTAGAGGGATTAAATATGGTGGGATCCACCAATAAAAATTTTCATTCAATTTTCCTTTCATTTCTAATTTTCTTTCTACCAAACAAGCTAACTTGCCAATTTTCATCCCAAAATTCCTCCAACATTTTCTTTCATTCCAATTTTCATTCATACCAAACACACTGTTAATGGTCTATAACAATTTTAGGGTCCGTTTAGTTCACTGATTTTAGTTTTTAATTTGAGTTGAGATGTAACTTTATGTGAGAGTTTTTTACTATAATAAAAAAGTTAAATGTGATTGTTTATGAGAATTTTTTATTGTAACAAAACTTAAATTTTAAACTCAAATCGGTAAAATGAATAGGGTCTTATTCTTTTTTCTTTATTGAATTATGTCATTTCATTGAAAGGGTAGAATTGTCATTTTGTCTTTAGAAATTGTTAACCTATTTCTGCGAAGGAACTGTTGTGCCAATTGATTGCACCAAAATGATATTTTTCTTTTTTAATTTTTTTATACGCACTTGGACTCTAACCACTTCCGCATTTTCTAATATACTAATATCGAGTAAAATCATGTTATTACATTGTGTTATACTAAAACATACTCTTATAATATTAAAACGTTTTAAAAATATTCTTTTAGTATCTTCAGATTCATTTTGAGAATATAAAATGTCATTTCTATCATTGTTAATTAAATGAAAACCATTTTTAATTTTAAACTAAACAAAAAAAAAGTATCGAATATCATCAAAAAAAAAAAAAACCAAAAAGATCATATCTGATGGATAAACAACGATCTCGAGTATATTTCACAATGGCAACATTCGCTGAGGCCTCGCAATGACGACGATAACAACAAATCCCAACAAGCATTTTCCAAGAGAGACCGATCTCACTATGGCGTCGTTTGAACAGATTTTTGAACTCGCGATCCCCGGAAGCGGCAGCGACGATGACAAAGAAAGGGAGGAGATCGACATACACAGAAAGAAATGGAGAGTGAGGAGAGAGAAAGCGGGAGCAGAAATAAGGAGAGAGAGCGAATGGCGAGATCAGAAATGTTTTCGGGTGCGTTTGGAATTGGTTCCAAAACGTTTTTATTTTCTGTACGAAAATGAAAATGAAAACGTTTTTAGTTTCATTTTTGAATTATTTCTAAAAATGCGTTTGGTAATTTTATTTAGAGATTGATTTCAGTTTTAAAAAAAACTGAAATTGCGTTTGGTGGTTTAATTTTTGAAAACATGTAATAATATATTAAATAATAATATATTAAATAAATAATAAATAAATAATATATTAAATATATTAAATAAATAATATATTAAATATATTAAATAAATAATATTATTAAATATATTATATAAATAATATTATTAAATATATTAAATAATAATATATTAAATAAACATATATAATACAAAAACGGTTTCAGAAAAAAGGGAAGAAAATGAAAAAGAAAAAAAAAGTGAAATCCGTTTTTCATAAAACAGAAAACGAAAACGAGAAAATGAAAACACATTTTTTTCGTTTTCTGATTTTCACAAAAAGACAAAAACGTTTTTGGTTTTGTTTTTTAAAAAAAATTGCACCAAACACGTTTTTAACACCCGTTTTCATTTTTTTGCTTTGAAAACCGTGAAAAACGAAAACGAAAACGCAAACAAACAGGCCCTTCTTTTCTTCGTTTCTTTTGTTTTTTTCTTTTCTTTTTTTGAGAAGTTTGTAATAAAAGAATAAAAGGGAGTTTCTCTGGTAATCCGCTTTACCGGCAGTCTCAGTTTTTGATCGTTGGATTTGGTGAACATAACATGAAAAATATGCAGAACAGATAAATTTTATTGCAAATCTGACAGTTCAAAAATAAGAAACTACTAGTAATTCATTTTTTGAGAGACTACCGGAGAAAGTCCTAAAATAATAAATGCTATTTACACCTACCTAAACTAAATAAGCTATTTACTACCCAAAGTTTATGAAATCTGATAAGGATGATGATGGTATGCTATACATATTTGCAAGTTTGGATCTATCTTTAATATAAAGGCGACATACATGATACATGGTTAAAAACATTGTACCCTACTTCCTAATATTTGTCCTATGCTAAACAACATAACTAACTAAAAAGGCCTAGTCAATAAATTTATATCCACTTTCGCATTTAAGTTTATGAGAATTAATGTCAATTGGAAACCTTGCATACTTTAGTATTTCGCGTGTTTTAGATGTGTGTTTTTTTTTTTGCCATTTTTATCTTCTACCTTGTTTCAAATGCTTGAAGCACAATTAATGTTTTCGCACGCGACCAATGCATACTCGTCCAAATCTTTGTATTTATTTTCAGAGCATAGAAATATCTTTGTATTTAATTATTTCCTTCTTTTCCTAATTATTACTTTTTTTTTTCTTCACTTTCAAAAAAAAAATGGGGAAGGGTCCAAAGCTCCTCTGCAAACCATGGAATGAAGATGTGTTTAGTATCAAATCAGATGAGACAACTTGGGAAGGTCTCCATTCTGCTCCATCTGTAATCTTAATAGATTGTGAAAGTAGAGTTTGAATGGGGATTTAAGGATATCAGCAATTCTTCTTCTTCTTATTTTTTTCCCCCTAATATATATGTGTTGGTATGAGCTGAAAAGTAGATCATGACTTTTATCACGAGGGAAAAAAAAAACAGTAGATCATGAATATATGCCAATGTCTATCCTATCATTCTATTATTGTGACAAAAAAATATATATAGTAAGAGCATCAATGTACTCAACTCTTTTCTTTTTTTTTTTTTTTGGTAGTCATAAAATATTGTATATCGTTACAAATCTCATACGACTCTTTATGAACTTGGATTGAATATAATGGATTAAATTTAAGTCATGCTAACCAAACAGAAGTGCTCAATAGAAAAAGACTAAAAGGACAAGTCATACTTTTTTTTCCCCTTATACTTATACATATGAAAAAATATATTAATCTTTTTTTTTGTATCCGATGGATAAGTTTAATAAGAGACGACCATTAGCATACACAATTTAGACTTCAACAAAGCGGCCCTATAGATAAAAATGTGCGTTGAAGGCCCTATAAGCAGGTCCTATCTCTCGGATGAGGAGCATATCACCCTAACCCCATTGAATATGCTTACATGGAGGTCTGGTCCCAGACACACGAGGACTTAGGTCGAGTTATAAATTAACAGGAAACAAGTCTTCACATTTAATATCTCTTAATAAATAATCCGGGATCACAAGCCTACCACGATGCTCCATAACTGCTAGGCGACCGCACTCGGTCGTATTAATCTTCTTAATCTCACCAACTATAACCTACAGTTGATGAGTAATTGTCGATTTTGGACAGCGCCATCAACTTTTGTCTCAAGTAACCCCGTTGTTTGGACATATTAATTCATCATTATTTATTGGTAAAGAATACACTTTTACAAGACCAGACAAAAACTTTAGGAAAGGAAATTCTCCTTTTTGTTTGTAGACGTGTCATCTCTTTTTAATCCCAACTCTTTTTCTTTCTTTTATGTCCTCTCTAGCAAGTAAGTTTCTTGACAAACCCCTATATATTTAAAACCAACTTCATGACGTGCACACAAAGACGTTAACAAAGCAAAGCCCCTCAACCAACCCCCTCAAGTCACCCTACACCCCAACACTTTCAATTTGTATTTTTCATCTTTACAACTAAGATAACCGACACTTCTTTTCTTCTAATCAATCTCTAGACACCAGTTTTCTTAAACTAAAACAAAGCCAGAACAAGCCTATATATAGCTACATATATAGCAAAAGCTACCAAATCTCAACCGTAGAATCCACCATGACACTAATCAGCTTGATCATGTTTCTCATGATCGTCATGATCTCTTTATTTCTTGGAAATGCAGAATCTCTTAGCAGAGTTGATTTCCCAGATGGGTTTATTTTTGGAACTGCTTCTTCAGCTTACCAGGTACCCTTTTTCAATTTTACCATTTTCTCATAAAGTTTTTGGTTTTAACATATCAAAGTGGAGCATATAGAGAAAAAAAAAAAAAGAGTGGTTCAACAATTAAGCTATCTTTGTGTTTATGGTAAATAGTTTGAAGGGGCTGTAGATGAGGGGAATAAAGGAGTTAGTACATGGGATACATTCACAAAAAAATCAGGTAAAAGCATCTCATAAAAATATTTGTAATACAAAATGTATTACCTAAAGAAACAGTTTTTTTTTTTTTTTTTTTTTAAAAAAACTATATATTATACTATTTTGTGCAATACTAACAGGGAGGATTTTGGACTTCAGTAATGCAGACACAGCCGTTGATCAATACCATAGATTTGAGGTAAAACTGCAATAGATATATCTCTCAACTTCAAAATATATCATATATAAGAGTTTTAATGCCACAAGCATAAATTAAACTGATTATTTTAATATGATTTCTTTTTCTTTTAAAAAAAAATCATTACTTAAGTCTATTCTTGCTCGGGATTAAGTTTCAATATTTAAATAACATCCAACATAATGCCCAAAAATTAAAGGGTCAAGAGTTTATGGGTAACAGAATCTATAATCTTATTATAATAGTGGGGGCCTTCTTGTATTTGATAATGATGATGATGTGTCACCAACTTGATAATTGGCATAAGAAAAAGAAAATATTATTCTAGTAAGATTAAGAATATTATTATCCACAAAGATAACTAGAAATTTCATGATCATACTAACAAAAGATGAAGTTAAAATTCTAAATATACAGAGTGACATAGACTTGATGAGGGATTTGGGAGTGGATGCTTACAGATTTTCAATATCATGGCCAAGAATTTTTCCAAGTAAGAATATGAATTGAATTCTTTTCTTAGACAATAATCTCTCCAATGATGTTTTTTTTTTTTTTGGCTAAGAATGGCATATGTTTCTTCAAATAATGCTTTAAAGATCATGAACAGATGGAACTGGAGAATACAACCCAGAAGGAATACAATACTACAACAACCTCATAGATGCTTTACTTCAAAAGGGTTAAGCAACTAAGCTTTTTTTTGGAATATATTTTCCCTTTAAGAGAATAATACAATATTGAGAGTTAACTTGTTCTTTTCAATCAGGAATAAAGCCTTTTGTGACTTTATATCACTGGGATTTACCACAAATGCTTGAAGACAGATATGAAGGATGGTTGAACAAACAGATTATGTAAGTTTGAAGAGAAAACTGCATATAACATAGGGTTGTTGTGTTGCTAGTCCCTAAACTTTTAGTTTTGTGACGATTTGGTCCCTAAATATAATTTTTTAGATGCGTAATTTGCTCTGGTGCACTCCTAACTTTTTGTTATTTGTTAGTTTTACCCTAAACTTTTAATTTTTTATATCCAGAATCTTAAATTTTACAATCCTGGGAAATGCAGACTAATTGATAATGGACATCAATTAATAAACGGAAATCAGGGTAATACCAAGATTAAAAACTTCAGGGTCCGACTTGCCGACCAATGAAATGTTTATGGTGTTTTAAAACGGAAATAGTAGAAAATATGCCAATATGAAAAGTTTAAGAAAGTATATAGGCCAATTTTTAGTTATAGAAATTAATAGGCCATAACTTATCAAGTTATGGTTCATAACCAGATAAGTTATGGACAAATTTGTCAAGTTATGGTTCATAGCCAGACAAGTTATGAAAAAAAATCGTGAATTATGGACAATAACTTGTCAAGTTATGGTTCATAACCAGATAAGTTATGTACAAAAATAATAATTTAGCCTATTTATTAACTTATGTAAACTATTGGCCTATTAATTTTAATTCATCTCAAGTCTTAGTCTATTTCTCTCTTTCTCCCGTTTTAAAATTGCAGGCATTTTGTCCATTAATTGATGTCCGTTTGCTATTAGACGACAATTGTAACTGTCTTTTGAATTTAGTGCCCCATTTGCCATAATTGAAAGGTTTGGGTCCAAGTTAACTAAAACTGAAGTTAGAGTGCACCAATGCAAAAAAAATTATAGATAGGTTAATGTATTACATAATTTTTTGACAGGTTGGTCCAACCAATCCCTAAAATTGATGTCAGACTTTTGAAATTGAAAGAGATAAACATGTCAATCATATGGTAACTCGATATTTTATTATAAAAAAAAAAAAAAAAAGAGTTACGTTGGTGCACATATTTGCTTCATTGTCTTTGAAAACTCTTAAAAATTAGAATATTTTGTATCTCACGTTACTATTTTTATAAAGTTTCAAGTTATGATACGATGAATACGTACGTGATTACTTCTGCTAAGTTTCAATAAAATAGTTGTTAATTTGGGCCTACAGACGAATTTTCAATAAAATATAACTTCAAGGATGAATTTGTCTTAAAAAAATAATCTGAGACCATATCGTCACAATGCTAATAATTCAAGCACTAGCAAGTGACAATAATAAAAATCTTTGAAATAATTACTTTTTAAAAGACTCTTTTTTTTTTCCCCAAGGGGCTTTTTAGGAGACTATTTAAGCTTTACCAATATTCGTAAATTCAATCTCATGACAGAAAAGACTTTGAGCATTATGCTATCACATGCTTTAAAGCTTTTGGAGATAGAGTCAAACACTGGATCACCTTCAATGAACCACATGGTTACTCACTTCAAAGCTATGACTTAGGCATACAAGCTCCTGGAAGATGCTCTATTCTTGGCCATTTGTTTTGTAAGAAAGGAAATTCATCAACTGAACCTTATATTGTAGCTCACAATATTCTCTTGTCTCATACTGCTGCTTATCATAGCTATCAAAGATATTTCAAGGTAATTCTGTTTTTTTTTTTTTTAATGGAAATATTTGGCCACCTACTTTAATAAATGTCCAAGTTTATAAACAAATGGCTAGCAACTAAAACTATAAAAATCCAGCCACTTTTTCATTAATTACATAGGTAAATTTAACGGTAGAACCACCTATAGACTTTCACCAGTGAAACACTCAATTTGAACTATTGGATTAAATTTTCAACAGTCAGATATGTGCAGATTCATATTAAAAATTTACAGTATGCCGCCCAAAGCTACTCCCTGTTAAGATCTGACCGTTGTAAAATTAATCCAACAGTTCAAACCGGAAGTTCCACCGGTAGAAGTGTTTTTGAGTTCCACGATATCTGTTTCTTAAAGTGGGTTCCTAAATAGTAAATTCCACCACTTTTATAAATTTTTTAGCAATATATTGTCCCAACTCTTGTCGTTTTCGTTCTACTTCCACCACATTTCAAAATCAAAACTAAGTTTTATATTTTGCATATCCTTTTTAGCCAAAAAAACTAAAAATAAAATAAAAAAGTCTGCAGATGTCCTTCACTTTTGAAATCAATAAAGGCAATATGTGAAGCATTATAACAAGTCCTTCTTTTAAAATTTTTGGCACAATTGCTTCGTAAATTTGTCGTGATTTATCATATTATCCCCGAAAATTTTAATTCAGACAATCAGTTTCCAAACTTATAAAATTATTGTAATGTGTTTAGTTGAGAAATTGAACAATTTGTGTACATTTCAATTGAGATGTTGGAATTTTTCATCAAATGTGCTATTCCAACAGTAATTTAACACAACCATCGTCAAAATTAAGAATATTGTAACAATTTTACAAGTTAAGAAACAACTTATAAAAATTAAAAGTTAATGGGACAAGTTGCTAAAACTATACAATTTGGGGAGCAAACATGCAAAATATCTTCTTTTTTTTTTTTTTTTTTTAATTTATAACTTGAATCGTCTTGGGATTGCAATATAGGAGAAACAAGGAGGTAAAGTAGGAATAGGCTTAGATACCAAGTGGTATGAACCCATTTCGGACAGCGAAGAGGACATTGATGCAGCAAATAGAGCAATGGATTTTGGGCTTGGATGGTATTATATATTCCTCTTGTTTCTTCTATTTAATTAACCTTTTTTTGTGTAATAAACACATGATCTAGCTAATACAATAAAACTGTACCAGGTTTCTTGATCCACTTCTTCTTGGTGACTACCCTCTTTCTATGAGGAAACTTGTGGGAGAGAGGCTACCAAAGATCTCACAACCAATCTCAAAGCTCTTGGTGGGGTCTCTAGACTTTGTTGGTCTAAACCATTACACCACATTCTACGTGCGAAAAGACAAGACGCGAATTCGAAAGTTCGTATTGAAAGATGCTATATCAGATGCTGCTGTCATTACAACAGGTAAGTTGTTCTAACTTACACCGCTTGAATCCTTGAGTCATTCTTATTTTACCTCTTAAACTTTAAAAAATCTCTATTTGTTCTCCGAATTTTAAATTAGTCCCATATAGCCTTTTTTTTGCTAGAATTTCAATTAAAAACAGACAAAAAAAGAGGGGTAATACCGTTACGTGATCTTCAACAAATGATATTAAGTGAGATTAACTCAAAATTCAGAGACAAAGTGGGAGTTTTTAAAATTTGAGGGGTAAACTGAAAATGACCCTGAAATTCGGGGGCACAAGTGAGACAAGTTTACATATCTCGCAGTACTTGGATCAAAATAACAACTCATCGTTACTAAACATATTATCTATCACAGCATACAGGAGAGGAGTTCCAATTGGAGAAAGAGTATGTCCCTGAAAAAACTAGAATTCAGTTACTTGTTTAAGATTATAACGACTTAATCAGGATGAAAAATTGTCCCTCCATTAGGCAGCCTCTCGTTGGTTACATATAGTGCCATGGGGGATCAGGAAGTTGGCAAGATATGTGAAGGACAAGTATGGGAATCCCCCAGTAATAATCACAGAAAATGGTTAGCAGCTTTAAAACTCAAAACATTGATATTAGATTTCACAACTTTTCTCACAAAAATTTTAACATTGATTTTGATTCATTAAAAATAGGTATGGACGATCCAAACCGACCCTTTGTGCCATTGGACAAGGCCTTAAAGGATGAGAAGAGAATAAGATTTCACAGAGATTATTTGTCAAACTTATCTGCTGCTATAAGGTAAATTATTAGTCAGTAACATTTCACAACTCCTTGAATTCATTTGCTTAAGCATATTTTCCATGATTACTGCAGACAAGATGAGTGCGATATTCGCGGCTATTTCGTCTGGTCACTGCTTGACAATTGGGAATGGAACATGGGCTACACAGTCAGATTCGGACTCTACTATGTGGACTACAAGAACAACCTTACAAGGATTCCAAAGGATTCTGTTCAATGGTTTAAAAGATTTCTCCGGCCGAAAAGAGATTTAAAATACCAGATAATCTGAAATCGTTCCTTATAACATGAATAGCTATTCAATTAATTCTTTGTAACCTGAATAACTATCCAAATAATTTCACAAAATCTACCTAATTTTAGAAGGCCGCGATTACACCATACACTTAAACTTCTTTAAAATAATCACATTTCAGAAGACTGCTTAAGCTTTACAAAATCCTCAAAATTCAATATCATGGCAAAAAAGACTTTGAACAGTAAGCTGTGTCACCAGATGATCTATTTTTGGACATTTGTTTTGTAAGAAAGGAAATTCATCAACTGAACCTTATATTTGTGGCACGCAATATCCTCTTGTCTCATGTACTTCGATTTTCTGGAAATATTTAGCCACCTACTTTGTAGTTTACAAAGTTATTTATTCAGTGAATAGCTCATCATTATATTAGCTAATCATTATTATTTCTTGGTAAAGATTACACTTTACACAATCAGGAAAAAACTTTTGCTTCTAAACATGTCATCTCTTTTTAATCCCCAAATTTTTTTTTTTTTAAAGGAGAGAAATACCTCTTTAAAGTGTATGAATATGGATTTTTACCCCTTACTTTTAATTAATTCATTTTTAGTATCAATACGGTATTAACCAAGAGTAAGAGAGTAAAAATCTAAAACCGTGCACTTATAAGAATAAATTCAGCAATTTTCTCTCTCTTTTTCTCTGTGTTTTTTTTTTTTTTTTTTTTTTTCATATAATTCCTTTTATCCCCTCTATAGCAAATTTCACAAAGACAAAGTAAAGCCCATCAACCATTATCTCATTCTACACCATAAAAAATTCGAGGGTGTATTTCATCTTTGCAACTAAGATACTGACATGATTAGCAAAAAAACACTAGATAACTGACACTGCTTTTCTTCTAACTAATATCCAGAAACCAGTTTTCTTAAATTAAAACAAAGACAGAAAACGCTTGTAGAGGCCAGAGAGACTATATCATCATAAAAAATAAAAATAAAATAAAAAAGCCTATATAATGACATGCGACATATATAATGATATTAAAGCATCTTTGTCCAATGAATTTGACTACAGATGCTTTGCAACAACAGATATTATTTCATCGTAAACAAAAAGAGTTGAAGTAAAACAACAATCTCTTTTTTTTTTGTTCCTATTCTTTATATATATATATATATATATAAACAAAGAAATATTCATTCAAAAATTTAAAAGTCAAGCAAAAGTATTAATTAGATCTTGGTATTCAAGTTTAGATTTTTTCTACCATCAGTTCCTTATCATCTAATTAACGTAAATTCTTTTCTTCATTTTTTTTTCACTTGACTTCATTTCATCTTTCTTACTACTTGTAAGAAATTTTTCAAGCGCTCTTTTTTCGGATTGAACCATACTTTCTATTTTCTCTCTTTTTTTCTTTTTTTTTTTTTTTTTAGTTTTTCATTCTCAGATGCATATTTTCTATTAGACATAGTTATTCCAACTAAGGTATATATAGATAAACACAATACAACGAGAACACAAAATAACATAGCTAAATAAAATTTTAAAAAAGAATTATTAGCAAGTAGAGAAGAAATGAGTGAGATGTGACCTGGAGATTTTATTGGGGGAGAGAATAGCAATTATAGCCTTGTGAGACGTTAGCAAGAGGAGATTTTTGTTTTGAGAAATTGAAAAGATATTATGAGAAGAAGAAGAAAAAATATAAAATACGTTTCTTATTAAAGAGAGAGAATGTGACAATCAGATTATCAGCACATTGAGTTTTTTTTTTTTAACGTTTTGAGTTTTTTTATTTTTATTTTTTTACTCAATGAGTTTTTTTTTTTAATTTTTTATAGTGGCTTAATGAGTTTTTTTTATTAGTTATAAATTTTTATTTTTTAAGGAGGCGTATAGCGTACAATAATTTTGAAGGTGAAAATGAAAATCTGTAAAGTTACCACAATTAGTATAAAAATTGCATTTTTTAGATTTAGGAGAAAATGAAACCCATAAGATTCATATTCTCTCATCAGAGCCTAGTTGCTGAAAACCTCCATCAGAGCCATTGTCCAAGCTCGTCACCCAGAGCTTGTCGCCGGAGTTCTACGAAGACACCACCAAGCTCATCGCCGAAGTTCTGCGAAGCCACCAACATCAAAATCCCAACCACCAGGGGTGGAGGGAGGCGGGGCCCATGGAGTGCATATGTCCCCCCGGATTTTTGAGAAATTGTTTTAAACCCCTAGAGTGTTTTTTTTTTTCTTTTAAATGCATATAATTGTTTAATTCCTTTCATGTTTGCCCCCCCTCTTAATTTACCAAAATTCAAATATATCTCTAGTAAATTTAATTTCCTGTAGAATTTATCACATCAAAAGTGATCTCAAACAAGACAACTTTTTTTTATAAATGACCCATTAAAATAATTATTCTCAAATGTACTCCTATTTAAGAATTTTTTTCACATAACCATCTTAATTCTTCTCTCATGAATACTTTTTCTCTACTTTACCCTTATTGAACTAACATTTATTTCAAACGTGTCTCTATTTAAACATTTTTTTAGGCAACTCTCAAATACTTCCTCCTATGTGCTTTCTAAATATTTTCCTATCTGATTTGCCCACTAAAATTTTTATTACTTAAGTTTGTTCTTATGTCTGTACACATATTTTATTGAATCAAAAACACATTTTGATTGAATGCGTTATATTTTAGTCTGGAAACATTTTTTCTAACTAAACTTAAAGAGAATGATAAATTTTTTTTTTTTTAAAATAACTAAATATGTATATGCATAACACATACTTCTAAGTTCTAACTAATTAATACTATGAAGAGTTGATATTTTGAGGATTTTTAACATTTTTCACGTTCTTAATTTATGCCCCCTCTAAAATAAAATTCTGGCTCTGCCACTGTCCACCACCACCAAAATAGATCTGCTCCAGCCACGACGTTGCATATCTGTCCCCATGCTCGGCCTTCCGCCCCCATCCCCATTGCCGTTAGAGCTCGCCACAACCCCATCAAATCTGGTTACCGCCCACCTCTGACATAGTTGGCTTTGATGAAGCTCAATCACGACGTCGTTTAAGGTCATCGCAACTCTTCCCACAATACCAACACAGCTCCTCCTACAATGCCATGCAGCTCCTCCCATAACGCCAATGCAGCTCTGCCCACAACGCCATCGCAGCTCGTCGATGATCCGTCTGACATTGTCGCTAGCCCACCTCCGTCGCTTGCAAAGTCACTGAGTCCAAATTTGGTTTGAGAGAATGAGACAAGAGTGAGAGGGAGGGAGATACGTCTTTTTTTTTATTCTTTTTTAAAAAAAAAAAAAATTGGTAATTTTATCTATGGTATCTTTTGAATTTAAATATTTAATTTGTTATTAAATTACAAATTTTGTTAAGAATTTCTTTCTTAACAATTTAATCTTTTTTTATATTTTTTTATTTTAGTATTTGGGAAAAGAAATTTGAGGTGTTAAATATATAATTATCCAATTAATAATACTTAATTGGTTTTTAAAATGTTTAAAATTATTGATTTCAAAAGAAATTTAAGGTGTTAAATACCATAGCCGACGATTAAAAAATTTGGCTTAAATCTCCGATAACATTATTAGTGAGAATGCTCTCCTCACAAAAGTAGGCAACTGCCTATTCAAAGTATGATTTACTAGCAATGGCTTCAAATCTAATGAGAAGTGGGGGGGTCTCTTTTATAGGACTAATGAGAGATAATGACTTTATCTCTTTCTTATATGGGACAATTGTTTTCTACTTTAATTTGCCGAAATTGATGGGAGCACTTTAAAAGTCAATCTCATTCATCTGTGCATCACTTTTAGTATGTGAATATATCACTTTCATCTACTCACGACGAGGAACTTATATCCATATTAATCTATCACTGAAGTGGATTCTATTCAAAATCAGACTTTAAAATGGTACGCCAAAATGGATTTCTAAAAATCCCCCACATGAATGAAACTAATTGAGAAAACAAAGCGAAATAATAAAGTCTAATTTTAGTGATTGACTTTTTTACGTAAGTGTTAGCCTTTAAACTTCCCTTGAGAGTATATTTACTTTACTAACTAATCACTAAGTATGATATCCTTGAATTATTCTACCGTCTATATAAATAATGATATACACAATTCCATTCTCATTATTATGTTCTTTTTGGCTATAATTATCTCCCTGATTTTGCGATAGTTTTTAAAGAATTAATGGTATGTTTACCTATACGTAATCAGAATGAGCATGAATCGAAGTGGGCAAGATTCGGAGTTGGTAGGATTCAGAGTGAGAAATCGGAGTCAGAATAAGCTGTTTACTTAGTGATAGGATTCGAAATCGGAGTCATTCCAAATCTCATTCATACGTTTACTTACACCCAGAATCAGAATGAAAAAGTGTAAAAGTACTAATATACCCTTTAAATCAATTTAATATTTTCAATTTAAAAAATATAGTGTACTTATTATATTAAAATTAATCATAATTAAAATATTTTGTGTAATAATTGGGTACTAAAATAATAAATATAAATTGTACAACTATTTAAAATATAAAAATAAAATAAATAAAAATAAAATATATTTTAATCTTGGCAAAGACCTTTAAAAAGTAAAAGTTATTTATCACAGTTGATTGTGTTCAGACACATAGATGATGCTGACATATATATAATTGAACCAATAGAGTGAGAAATGATGTGGCACACGATCAAAATAATAAAAAAGAAAGAAAAAGCTAATTTGTTATTATTGTGAGCTTTGTGTTATTGTTATTATTCTTTTATAAAATGAATCTAATTCACATTTTTATCAACTAGCATACGAGGAGTTTAAAGTCGCATTACTTAAGCCGTATTCAGCAAGCTGCGGGGCAGTATAATTTCAACCTCACTGCAAACTTTTAGAATCATCCCTCGATGTTAGGTGTGAGAGTCTTGCCTCATCACTTAGTTTTATTTACCTTCTTCCACTACTACTAATAAAATAATATAAATATTATCACCGTCATCATCATTATTATTAGGGTTAATCTCATTGTGCCCTATAAACTTTAAGATCATTTTCAGTTTGTCTCAAAATTTAAAACTCATATTATGTTCTTGAATTTTGAATTAATTATACTGAATCCTTTTTTAATGAGAAAAATAAAGAGTTAAGTGCAGTCATGAGGTTTTTTTTCATTTGAACTATATAAAAATTATATAACATGAAATTATATGAATGCAATACACCTTTTTTTGACTGACATTCTATGGAAATTCTAACTCTATATAGACTATTTAAAGTTAAGAAGGTAAAGTGAGAATTTTTTAAATTGAGGGGTGAAATATGAATGATAATGGAGTTTCAGAGACATGCAATAAAAATCGTTATTATTATTATTATTATTATTGGTCGTTGAAACACGTGTCTGATTGTACGGCCGTGAACAAACGCCTGTGCGTGTGACATAAATATCCAAAAGATTGACATAAATATCTTCTCGCATATTTAAAATTGTCATTCGTGTTGTCAACTTTGGTAATGGAACAATAATTCCACGAAAATAACACGCCGAACAACAATAATTACATGAATATTCACTCCCGTGGGAATTTTACCATAAGCAGTGCATATGCTTGAATTTATTTATTTTTCCGAATACATACAAATTATGTAATCAGAAGAAAAAACCAGAATAGATAAATTGAGTAATTCTCATCACTCGTTTAGTTCGCTGATTCGAGTTTTTAATTCGAGTTGATATGTAATTTTATGTAAGAGCTTTTTACTGTAATAAAAAAATTAGATGTGATTATTTTTTAAAGCTTTTTACTGTAATAAAACTCGAATTCTAAATTCGAATAAATGAAATGAACGGGGCCTCAGTTTGTTACAAAACATGCCAGAAACTTTCCATTTATGGCTCAACAGAAATAGTACAAACCTTACACGTGTCGACATTGAAGATAAAGTCCTATATGAACTAAACTAGACTTGACTACACTAGAATAACAATCACAAATTACTGGTATTTAATACCTCTGATTTGAGTGAATTGCTCTATATGAGCCCCCAAAAAAAAGAAAGTGTGAATTGCTCTAACATCTCCCCTCAAGCTCACAAGGCAGGTGAGCACATAGTTTTACTAGATTTTACGAAGGCCTTCACGTAAAATTGCTCATCTATATCCAAAATCCAATAAAAATCATTAATCTTCAAATTCAAGACCACGATTATAATTCAAATGAAAGAAAAAAAAAAAGACTTTCAGGTGAAAGATGGTAATGGGCATTATCTAGATAATAAAAAGAATGGGATTTGCCATCTATTGCAGATGAATAATTGTTCAAAAGGATCAGCAATTTAGATTTTAGCCAGCAATTCTCTCCAAAAAAGAAAATGTCAACCTGATACCATTAAGATTTCACCATATTCCTTGGTCCCCATCATGTTCAGTGTCTCCACTGAATTCCTTATGGAGTGACATACATAACAGTTCATTGACGTATCAAGGTGTATAATATACACAGTTTACAGATAAGATAAGTGTGTTTATAGGTAAAACATAAATTTTATTTGCTACAAAAGAACCGAAAGAAAGAAAAAGGGCCAGGGCTAGCTTGTTCTTCGTACTCCTATTGTATTTTTACTAATTTTGTCAATATTCTTTTTTCATATATTTTATTTTATTTTACTTCAGTCTAACCAGAACTCTGTCATAATCTCAAATACACTTGACAATTCCGTAATAAAAACAAAAATCAAGTTTTCTAGTGAAGCAAATATTAAAAAAAATAAAAAATTTACTAGCAAAATATTGCAACCATAAATATACAGACAAGAGCTGTAAATAAATAAAGAATAAGGTTGTATATCCCAGCAAAATGCCCTTGTAATAATTGAATATAGTTGAATTTTCCAGAAAAAAAAAGGACTCAATAGTTGGTATATCCTAAAACAATGAGTTAACACAGATTCATCTTCACACAGAATCATTTTGGGATTCAGTCTCGCGAGTCTGCGTTCTTCTCGCCTTAGAATCATCGAGATAGTTTTGATAAATGTAAGAGGCAAAACCCCAGATAGCCATAAGCATAGCAACTATCTTAACTCCATTCATCTTGTCATGGAAAACTATCACAGAAGCAATCGGGGTCACAGCCAATGAGAGAGTACTAATTACATTGGAGAAGAGAGAAGAGACTACAAATATCAATCCCACAACACCAACAGAGCAAACCTGCCAAGCCACAGCTGTCCAAACCAGTGTCATCACATATGCGAATCCTCCCTTACCAAAGCCCTGCATTTCTCCATGCAAAATCCTCCATTCTCCGCTCGCAAAAAGACCGATAAGCGAAACACTAGTGGCGACCAGGGAAGTATAGATTTGCATTTCTAGCACCACAGTGAATGTTTCCCTTTTCAGAACCTTTTGGAAAGAAAGCTGCATAAGAGAGAGTAAAAGAGAGTAAATTGCAGAAGCTGCGAGGGTGCAAATGAAGCCAATGATATACTTTGCTTTCGAGACTCCTGTTGGTCCGTCTGAGTCATCATTAACTGCAATAAGGGCTGCAGATAGTGATAGGACAACCACGGAGTTAAGAACCAGTGCAGTGAACTTCTGAGAATTGATGAAGTACGAGAAAACCGCATTGAAAGCTAATTGGGTGGCACAAATAAGGGAGTAAGTTGAGGCTGAGAGATATAGGAGCCCAACAGAATATAACATGTTGTCACCAGCTATAACCACTCCGAGACAGAAGTAAATTGAGGCAAGAATTTTAATAGAAGGTGCTCCTGAAGAAGTTAAAGAATGTTGGGAAGAAGGAAGAAAAAATAGCGAAAGATAGAGGAGAGGGAAGGCTGCAGTTTGCACAAGTGTAGCCATCCATTTACTATTACCACCCTGGTCATAATAAAATCTGCCGAGTATAACAGCGGCTGCTTGACCCACCAAAAGGAAAATTACGTTGAGTGATACCAAACACCACCATTGCCAGCGCTTGACTTTAGCAAATAGTATCTGATGTGTTGACGTTTCATCTTTTGACAAAATTGGTTCTTGGTTATCTGAATTGTATACAATATATTTGCAATCAGATTACACCGCTATACCGTTTCACTAATCACTAAAAGTCAAATAACTAGGAAAGCATTTAAATCAAGAATATATAATCATAAAACAAGGAACGGAATATGAGCAATGATATCCAAATCATGAAAAATATGCTAACTTATATTTTAGTTTCTTGGTGTGTCATGAAACTACTTTTTCATGACGTTTCGTTTTTTTCACCAAATATTGCAGCAATCACACAGATCACTCTTATTTTGCAAGAAATTCTCCCTGAACACTCTACATGTACATTCGTAGGCTTTTTTAGTAAAGAAGGTTCATGTCAGAGCCACAACTTATGCAAGCTCATGAACTACTAGATATAATTGAAATATAAGCAAACTCGTGTGTTTCAAAACCCATTAAACAAAATTGAATTTATAAATCTTCTACAGTTACAGAGCCACTTTTCAATATGAGGTTTGGGTTTTCCTATTTAGGTTTTGTTTTTTTTTTTCCCTCTCGTCTTTAAAATTCTCTAGGCTCTTTCATTGTGCATAGAAAGAAAAAATGTTCAATATGTCACTAAATAAAGCAAGTCACTAGAAAATTAGACTTCATCAACATGTAAGCACGATGGCCATTCAATAACTTCCTCTCCTAATAGTTGTATTTACTTTTCGAAAGGGTTCAGCACAAATTGATTAAAAAAACAGCCATGTCAGAGAAAAGGGTAACATCCTCGATTATCTTAATTAAAAACTCATGGGCAAAGAAAAAAACTCGAAATTTGTATTAACGAATAAAATAAACAAAACCCAGGTCGAATTTCATTCAACAACAGAAAATGAAAAAAAAAAAAAAATGGTTAGAGAGAACCTGTCATGTCTTTATGGTTGGTGAGCCAGTGGAAGCAGATGGAGCTCGGCCCTTCAGAAAACAACGAGAACGACGATTATTTGTTTATTTATTGTGATTATTGTTATTTTGATAAATAAGAAGACAATCAAAATCACAGCCCCAAAAAAAGGAAAAAAAAATCGATTCAGAAATGAGAAATTCCGAACCTGTAAAACAAGCAACCACTCGAGATGAGCAAAAGCTCCTGTTCAAAAACACAAACCTGAGATTACGCCGACGAAAATCAGGTTTTAAGAGGGTAATGGATTCTTTTCACTAAACAAATCCATCTTACGCAACTTTTTGTTGTTTCTCCATTTATAGAATTCGAATATTCGATTCCAGTATTTAAATTTAATTAATCCTAAATAAAAATTAAGGGGATACTTTTACATTTTCTCTATTTTGCACAGTTAATTACAAATATCTTCTCTTTATTTTTAATTTTTTTATATAAAATTATTTTTGTCTTTTGAATTATATTTTGAGTTTTTTTTAAGGTCTTCTTAACGGTGAGATCTATTTTTGACCTTTAGATTTGATAAAATCACATTAAATTAAAAAAAATGTAAAAATATAATTTTTATTATAAATCTTAACATTAAAAAGCTTGAACTTTTGTTTTGGTGATTCTATTGACAATCCCTAACTCCTAACATCCCCTTTCAAAACCCACACTACTATTTTATTTCACATGCTCGAATAATAGTTTAAACTTTTTTCTTATAAAAAAAATCAAAATTTTGAATAAACTTTAAAAGGGGCATACATCTAAACTTTACATGTTTACCTACGCGTAATCGGAATGAGCATGAATCGGAGTGAGAAGGATTCAGAGTGATAAGGATTCGGAGTGAGTAGGATTCAGAGTGAGGAATTAGAGTCAGAATAAGCTGTTTACTTAGTGATATGATTCAGAATCGGAGTCATTTTAAATCTCATTCATATGTTTACTTACACTTAGAATCGAAATGAACAAATGTTAAAGTACTAATATACCCTTTAAATCAATTTGATATTTTCAATTTAAAAAATATATTGTGTATTTATTATATTAAAATTCATCATAGTTAAAATATTTAGTGTAATATTGGGTACTAAAATAAATATAAATTGACAACTATTTAAAATATAAAATTAAAAAATTTTAAAAAATTAAATAAAATAAATAAAAATAAAATATATTATTAATTTATTAAAAATAAAGTACATATTTATTATATTAAAGTTAACAATAATTATGTTAATATTATAATATTAGTCAAATAAAATAATAAATATATGTTACATTTATTATTTTTTGAAATTTATTTTTAATTGTGTATTTATAAATAAAATAAGGGTATAATAGTAAATTGATATTAATATTAGGAATGTGAGTCTCAATCTCAAGGGAAGGTATGGGAGTGCCAATCCCATTCTTCAATCCTAAATTTGAGTGGAGCCCACCAATCTCACTCTCATTTCAGGATAAAAAAGAACAAATAAACATGAGATTGACTCTCATTCTCCACTCCTATTCTTCAATCCTGATAAGTAAACATGCCATAAACCTCGTTCATTTCACCAATTTGAGTTTTCAGTTTTAGGTTTCTACAGTAAAAAATTCTCAGAAAATTTCATATCAAAATTTTTTATTACAGTAAAAGACTCTAAAAAAATATTACATCTCAACTCAAATTAAAAACTTAAATTTGTAAAGTTAAAGAGGCGTACATAATTCTCTTTTAAAGCGGCTTCACTTTTCTTTTCTTGTACATAAGTGATCTATTATTAAAGAGTACTAATTCATGATTACAGACAAGATAAGGGCGACGTTCGCGGTTATTTCATGTGGTCTCTGCTTGACAAATGGGAATGGAACATGGGCTACACAGTCAGATTTGGACTCTGCTATTTGCCCTACAATAACAACCTTACACGGATTCCAAAGGCCTTCTTATTGAACTATTCAATTGTCAACATTATACGCTCTACCGAAACAACCCTCACTAATCAAAAAGACAATATATAAGATTACTATCGGTAATCTACCAAATGCAGTTTTCTATTAGGAAAAAAAAAGGGGTCGATCTTATCCATTCACCGGTGCCGAAGAGTAATCTGATTGATTATTCTTTCATTTTCAACTAAAGGAACATTGGAGCTGGTTCCCTGTATTATTATAATAAAAATAATCAGATGCAAACAAGCACACAATCCCTAAGAATCAGATGCAACCAGGAACACAACCCATAACCGTCTCTAACCTATAATAAAGAAAAAATTGAGAATTTGAACTTTATTTTTTATTTTTGATAAATAACAAAATTATGAGTATAAGAGAACGTTTAATTTATGAATTTAAAATTATAATTCAGTAACATTTACGTATATTTTTTATGAGAGAAAATATTGTAATAAATTATGAATTATAATTCAAATTATAACACAAATTTTTACTCTAAACGCACCTTAAATTTTTAACTCTTATTCTTAATAAATATCTTTTTATTAATATAATTATTTAATTAAAAAAATTATAAATTAAAAGTAAAAAATAAAAATTTTAAAAGATATTTATTAACATTACCCTACCACTACAAAGGCACAAAATCTCGCAGGAAGGAGGCGTGTCATTTGGAGGTGCTTAAAAAATCCGAAAGAAACATCACTCAAAAACCACCTTTTCTGACCTCCCTAAAATCTTCATTCTCAATCTTTATTCTCTGTTTGATCAAAACCCAGAACTCAAAAAAGCGTCTTTCTTTGTTTTCCTTTTCTTATATCTATATATAATTTGCAAAATTGTTTCTTGTTGTTTGAACCCACATTTGTTCTATCCCCTAACGCAAAACCCAGATAGTGTTTTGTGCCCATGAAACGAGGGTACTCAGAATCGCCATCTACTTCTTCTATTGGGCCACCCCAATCCAGATTCAAACCCAACCCAGAAGGTAAAAATTTGTGATACTTCAAAGGACAGACTTTTTTTTGAGACATGGGATTTGATTCTTAGTTTTGTGCGGTAAAGTTTTTTACTTTGCTTCTCCGTCTTATTGGGTTTTGAGTTTTTTTGGATCCGAGTCTTTTGATGTTTATATATGTATGGTTGGGACTAAAAAGAATGAGGATTGAGAACTTGAACAATTTAAAAAGTTCATATTTGTGGTTAGTGAAATTGTTGATTTATGCAATTTTTATTATTTTGTCAGTATATTGAATTTGGGATGTGGGTTCTTAGCTTTAGGACTTAAGTAGTTTGTGATTGCTGAGAAACTGAGAAAAAGGTGAAGAAAATGAAATAGAAAAAGAAAAAGAAAAAGAAAATTGGCATTTCATATGTACATGATGAGTAGCTGAACTTGAAGTATTCATATTTTTTTCTTTACCTTTCTTGTATTGGTTAATGGTTACTTACAATATGAGGTCAGGGATTTTGTATCAAAACTTTTTTTTCTTTTTCTCACGTTGTGGTGTTAGTTGATGCACAATTTTTGGAGGATGAGAGCACAAAGATTTTCGCCCGTAAAGTGGCTGACCATTACAGTGCAAGGACAAACCAAACTCTTGAAGAACGAGAAGCTAGCGTAATCATCCATTTGAAGAAACTAAACAATTGGGTCTGTCTTGTTAAACACTTGAAAGACAATGCTGAGCTACATCACATTGCTTTGCGGTTGTTTTAATTGATTCGATGTTGTGTTTTTATACAACAGATAAAAAGTGTGTTGATTCAGCTCTACACTCGCCGAGGAGACGCAGTTCTTGATCTTGCCTGCGGAAAGGTATTTTGGGGTCCCTTGTTTTATGTGACATAACTTCATTTCTTGTCCTGTCATTGATTAGTTCTCGGTAAATTTGTTGTTTTTAACTAGGGTGGTGATCTCATCAAGTGGGACAAGGCAAAAGTTGGATATTATGTTGGAATTGATATAGCTGAAGGATCAGTAAGCTCCTATGCTTGTACATTTACTTGTTTGCTCACTTTCTTCATTTATGTGATAATGATCTCAATTTGTCTTATGCACAACTCAATTGAAGTGGGGCTATTTTTGCATTCGTTGTCGTGGATAATTCTTTTGTGTCACTCCCTGAGAAACATCTTTCTTATTGGTGTTTCCACCATTGATATCCCTTTCAAAGCGGGTTAATTTCCAAGAAGTAGTGTTAACAGCATGCTGATCTGATGTTGTTGGTTATAACAGTTGTGTTATACTACTCGTGCTATTATTGACCTTCTTACAATCACATTTATGTACAGATAGAAGATTGTCGTACACGTTATAATGGTGATGCGGACCATCACCAGCGCCGTAAAAAGTTCTCATTTCCTGCCCGCCTCATATGCGGAGATTGTTATGAGGTGGTTACAGTTCAACAAATGGATTAGTACAGAATACTTCTCCCTTTCTAGCCAAACAGATTCATTTTTCTATCACTTGATTACAATTGCATTTGTGTGACATAGTGAATAATAAACAGTCTTAAATTGATTCACTTTGTCTATAATCTTATCTGAGACCCATGCCAATATTTTAGGCTCGCTTGGATGAAGTTTTGGCAAATGATGGACCCTTCGATATTTGCAGTTGCCAGGTCAATGGAATTTTATTTAAACATATGCATATTACCGCGTCTAAATTTCTAATCTTTGAAACCCATTATGTAGTTTGCTATGCATTATTCATGGTCTACTGAGGCACGTGCACGGCGAGCTTTAGCCAATGTATCAGCTTTACTTCGTCCTGGTGGTACTTTCATTGGAACAATGCCAGATGCCAATGTGATCATTAAAAAGCTCAGACAAGGTTTGTCTCACAAGCGGTCGTTCTATTTATTTTTTTAATCTTTTGGTCCTAAAACATATGCTAAAAAGAACATAAATTTGATTCTAACTGAAGAAGTTTGACAATATTCCGTTTATGTCTTGTTTGCTCACAAGTTTGACTATCTAATAAAATTTTGTAAGTGACTACAAGAGGTGCGGACCAAGCTGAGACTGAGAAGCATATATCTTAACTCATTGACTATCAAACCGTATAAAACTTGTCCATATAATATTATGTACGTCTAAGGTTATAAAATAATGAAAAAGTTCTGATCTATCCTAGACCAGATAATGATAAGCTGTTGTATAAAGTTCTCGTTGTATACCAACTTTGAGCAATGAGATTGTTGCGCTTGGCAGACCACTTTTTACATTTTTAATTGGAGATGCTGCTTTCGTTGTGAATTTGCAGCCGACAGGTTGGAATTTGGTAACAGTGTCTACTGGATACATTTTGACGAAGAGTTTTCTGACAAGGTGAAAATCTAGTCCCCAATTTTACAATGCACACTATTTGGCAATTTCTATTTTTGACTTTTATGCTGGAACATTTATATTGTTCAGAAATTTAGATCTTCGAGCCCCTTTGGTATCAAGTACAAATTTCACCTAGAGGTATATTTCTCATCCGTCTTTTATTTTTTCCTCAAATATATGTCCTCCGTGAATATTGGTTTTACTAGATACTAGTGCTTGGTGTCTATCTAATTACTTCTATTGGTGCCTGTTGCAGGATGCTGTTGACTGCCCTGAATGGATTGTCCCCTTTCATGTCTTCAAATCATTAGCAGAAGAGGTATAATGTAGTTGTTTTTTCTATTTCTCATGAGGCGCCAAGCCAAACGTAAATGACATTTCTATTGAAGGCTTCTCTCTGCTTGTGTGTGTTTTCCCTGCCTCCGGAAGTTCGCCCGCTTGTTAATGGCTGAAATTTGGAGGAGGTTCTTTTGTATAAGTGTAAAGCAGTCTTTGCTTTTGGATACAAACTATTTGGATAAAAAATTACTCTTCTGCCTAGGATCACGGTTGAATGTTATTGACATGTAAGGGATCCTTAAATTTTGCAGTATGATTTGGAGCTAGTCTTTGTGAAAAATTCCCATGAATTTGTGCACGAATATATGAAGAAGGCCGAATATGTCGAGCTCATGAGGCGGCTTGGGGCCTTGGGTGATGGTAACCAAGATCCGAGTAAGACATCTGCTTATGTTTCTGTTTCCTGTTAACTTCACTCTACTGGGTGCGAGATGTTGGAATTAAGCGGCTGGTTTCCTTTGTTTTCTAACTCTGATTTCGAATCATATCTTTTCTCTCTTGTTCTCAGGCACGTTATCGCCAGACGAATGGGAAGTAGCTTATTTGTACTTGGCATTTGTTCTGAGGAAGGTGAGTTTCCCATCCCTGTGGCGGAACAACACGCATGGCGATATTGCCATTGTGTCGTTTTCGTGTGCTATTACATTTGGGAGAGATAGAATTAGCATCTGTTTCGGGTTTGAAACTGATGCCGTGACATTTTTTGTTTCAGCGAGGCCAACCCGACCAGACACAAGTCAATGGAAAAAGAGACAGAGGACAAATGCATATATCAAAAGAAGATGTCATGGCCATTGGTAGTTAATAATCAAACATCCTTTTTTTTAAAAGCAGACAAATAAAAGGATTTTTCTGGCTTATAGCCAGCCTGCTTCGCCTAATAGCCAGTACACAACAATTTATACCCTGGCTCTTTTCCAGTTCTCTAAAAACATAGATGTAACTATTCAATTTTGTAGATTACTAAAGGAATATTTTTTTTTTTCCACCACTGCTGAGAAAATTGTCATATTATACTTTTTGGGAAGGAGAGCTTAATAGTGATCCTTTGCATAATTTGGGAGGTCAACTTCCTCTCCGTCCGTTGGGTGTAACTATCGAGTAGTGTCAAGGATTTTAACTTTTTGATATCAATTCGTGTAATAAGTCGTCAATTTTTATTAGTAAATGTAATCTTATAATTATTGAGAGGCGCTATAATTTTCTAAGTTAATGTAATCTTATAGGGGGCGTTTGATACGCAATAATAAATAAAAATTATATTTTTGAGAAAGTGATGGGGTAATAGGTAATCATGAGAATGTTATGTATTAAAAAAAAAAAAACATTTTTTTAAATGATTTATACTTCAGAAAAGAAAAACAAGCTATGTTCATCCCAGATCTTATATATATATATATATATACTTTTAGCAATATACACATACATATATTTTGGTTTTGGTCCTCAAGGCCTAATGTTAAGCGGAAGGAATTTTGGTAACATATTCTGTCATTGCAACCAATAAACTCTTTTAAACCTTTTTTGAATAACAACAATAAACTCTCTTAGATAATATTGAAAGATAGCTTTCTAAGCGCTTATCCACAAAAAATGACAATAGATCTATTTGGTTGAATTCGTATTATAAAGTTGGGTTTCCGAACAGTGGCGGAGTCAGAAATTTTTTTTCAAGGAGCTTGAGTTAAACAAAAACTTTGAAGGAAAATAGTCATACTAACTATCTTTTTACTTTTAAAGCTTCTCTTTTATCTTTTTTAATATATTTTTTTCTTTATTTATTTTTCTAAATGAATCAAACCTCTAATTGAGTTTAATTCGTTTTCTAAAGTTTATAATAGTAGTTTAGTTAAATTTTTTTGCTTTTATTGGGATTTTTAATTTGAGTTATTAGTATACTTAAATCTAAAGGTTGAAAAAGTTTTATTGAAAATGTGTATACATGAAATTAGAATTTGATGTCATAAATGGAAGATCCAACCAAAGTCATGAAGTAGAAAGTAACTAGTCATGAAAATGGAGTGTATTCTGGTTTTATTGTAAAAGAAGATCCAACCAAAGTCATGAAATAGAAAGTAACTAGTCATGAAAATCAGTAATTAATTTATCTTCATTCTTCACCATGTAACTTGCTAACCAAGACAACAATTATATGTTTGTTCCTCCCAGAAAAATCCCACGAAATTTCTCTCGTTTGTCAAAGAGCTGATTTGCGCTGTGATGCCATATATTTTCCTCAATACACTAATCATTCTTCATTGCCTGTTTGTTACCAGCTGAGGAAAGGCATTGTTCATTGTTAAACAACATTAGCCAAAGTCCAAAACAAAATTTTTCCAAAACAGACATGAATGATTTAAACATTTGTGGTAAAAAGCATAAAAATATGTAAAGTGTTTGTACTTGTGTATTTTAGCTCCTGCAGTACAGCCATTTGCCTAGTTCTTTTTAGGTTCGTTTCATTAATGTCCTTGAGCTATGTACCCTAGTTCAATGTATCTAAGATTTTAAATAGGATTCATTTTATTCCATGAATTGTATAAAACTCAATACCCCCTAAGCAAAAATAATCTTCTGATGCCCCTAAATTATGATTTAGTGTCAAGTTTTTTGAAAATAGGGAAACAAATTGATATAAAATTAATAGTTTGGGAGTAAGTAAACTAAAAATCACTAGTTCATGAGCTTTTATAAAATTATAAATAATTCATGTTCTCAGTTTGTTCGTATGATAAACGAATTGGTATTTTAAATAATTTAATATAGTTCCAAGTTGAAAAAATGATGTATTTTTAAAGTTCGGGAGACATGTTGAGCTAAATACATAGTACAAGAGGCATTTATGAAATTAATCCCTCCTTTATCAACGAGGAACTCTTGAATGCACCCAAAACATAACAGGAAAAAGTTGCTGAAAATAAAAAATAATAATAATAAATAAATAAAAAAGAGACAGCGTTCAAGCATTTCGACAAAAATTTGTTTAATTATTGGATGGCATTGGCACCATGAAAACTGTTGTGCAAGAACTACAAATAGAAAGAGAAGGAAATAAGCGATCATAAAGCAGTTAAATCTAACAATAATATATAGAAAGAAAAGGCAATAAACGATCATTTCAAATAAGCAACAAACAAGCATCAGTTTTCCAACAACGACCACATAATGCCATTAAACTGTATTGGACCATATCTGATACAAACATAGAGCTAATTACAAGAACAGACTAATTACTGGATAAACATACTATCTGAGCCATGATGACAATGAGAACAGTAATGGCTGATTGAAAAAGTTAAAGAGGCTCAAAGCTCGAGTTCAGTATCATGCTATAATTTTTATACATAATAAGCGCCATCCAAAGAGATAACACAGCTTTTATTTGTAAATTCGACAAGTTGAAAGAGACGACCTAGATAGTATTGTCTAAACACGTTTCAGCAGAACCACCATAACAACCAGCGTCACCAGTCCCATGAAGGATGCTCCGAGGGTGATATCCGTGGCAGTTGATTTTATATTTTCATTGACATCGGAAGAAAATCCAAATATGTTTTGAAAAGAACTTGAGAGGTTGCTGACCAGCTCAACCACGGTAACTTTGAAGTTCTCCAGCATACTCATGAACCAATTCTCTGAGTCTCCAGTCTCCATGCCTTCAGACGACTTCTCGACGTTCTCGGGAAACACTTGCTCTTGAAACTCGGGATCTGCAACAGAATTCTTAGGTGAATATCCATACAAGGAATTAGGAGACCAACCTAAACATGCAACAATAGTTCAAACAATTTGTGCGACAGAGCAAAGAATATAGTGATACACTGGGACTGTTTCTTACTGTTCTTGTTTGCCTGCATGAAATCTTGAAGCACCGGATTTTGCATGACAGCATTCCAGACGTTTAGATCTGTGGCAAGGGACGCTACAACAGTCTGAATATGGAACCACAAAAGAAGAAAATTAGTCTATAAGCAACTACTCAGAAGTCATCATATACAAACCACACGCATTACGGAGGGCAATCAGTATGTGCAGACGATCATCTAGAATATAGAATAGATATGCGAATAACACAATGGTCAAAGCATAACAAGGCTCAGAAGTCAGACCTCTATACAAGGTTAGCAATTACCTGTGCTTCAGAGCTTCTACTAAGAAACTTGAATGCCTTGAGAGCATGATTTGGAACCGGACGGCCTCTTCCAGTGTCGACAATAAGACAAGTTTTAGTCTCCGAGTTGGGGTCCGAACACAGAGACAGACCAGACAACTGATTAGCAGCAACTACTTCCCCAGATTCAGAGGATTCATGCGGAGACAAATACACCCTAAAACAGCATTTTTTCAATGTAAGAGGAGAATTCTTTGTAGTAAAGTTGACAACATTCAAAACAAATGCAGCACAGAGAGTCAATAGTAGTCCTTTTTGTAAACCTTTTACGTTCGCCAACAATACTGGAAATAAACTTATACTAGAAGACTTGATACTCCAGATGGCCAACACATCTAAACCGCACACGTTTCCTTAAGAGCTTGTTTGGTAGAAGGGAAAAGTGGAAAGAAGGATAGGGATGGCAAGAAGTAGAAGGACTATTGGATCTATGGTTGTTTGGTAAGAGGAAAACCAGAAGGAATGGATCGAGTGAGGGACTTCCCAAATTTAATTTCTCCAAATATGGAGATATTAGAGAAGAGAATCCATACCAAACACGATGAGAGAGAGATTCTCCCCTTGCTCACAATTTTCCTCACCCAGGTTGTGTACATTTCTTTCTTTCTCTCTTGCCAGACACAACCTGCGTGTCAACTCTTAACAACTCGACATGAAAAGTGAAAACCCAAGAACCACTAGAAACATAAACCTTTACAAGAAATTCAAGTCTAATTTCAGTTCCATTTAAACCCGCCCCTCATAATTAGAGCTTTTATTTCATTTCACTTTGTCAATTGAAGGGCACAGAACACCAAATGAAATTTCCAAGCACAACCACCGCATCTTGCCTTTCGAAATATACAACAGCAAATTCACTCAACCCACTTTCTTACTTTTAACAAATCTTCAAAGTCACGAAATTTATGACATTTTGCTTGCTCCACTCAATTCAATAACATGTTTTCAAACTAAAAATTCTATTCATCAACCCACAAATCTATCTTTTTGCAAGTAAAACAAGAAAAAACTAACAAACAAAAGAAGAAGAAGAAGAATTCCAGAATGAACCCTAATTTTTGTGCAGGCAAAAGAATTGTCCAAATATTGACCGAAAATTCAAAAACCAAGAACAAAACAAAATAGAAAAAACAGTAATTTCAGAACATATATATACATATATACATATATACTTACTTATCCAAAGCATCTTTCAATTCAATTGTGGCCTCCTTAGCTTCATCAAAGCTCGGAGCTCCGGCGAACACGACCCTAGGCAACGGCTCCCCGTCGGTCATGACCAAATCGTCCTCCCATCCGTCCATCTCCCACGCCGGCATCTGGATCGGCGGCACGTCAGAGACGGTGGCCCTGGCCGCCGATGAAGACGAGGACGAGGAGAGGATCGCCGAAGCCGGCATCGCGGACTTGCGCAGGGCCTGCTCGACGGGCGGCACCGCCGGGGAGCCACGAAGACCGCGAAGGATGACGCCGCCACTGACTCCGGCGACCTTCGATGCCGTCGCCGCTCTCATGACTCCTCCTCCCATGGTGGTGAGTAAACCCCAACGTAAAGCTTGGAAATGGAGATCTTTTGCACCGATTGCTCTCTCTCTCTCTCTCTCTTTAACTTCAGAATCTGGATATGGCGGGGAATATATAGTATTGTAGCGAAGGTGTCGTTTAGCGGTGATTACTTTTAACAACGTTTCGTTTTAGTCGCTTTTTTTTTTTTTTTTTTTTTTTTGCGGGAGTATTATTTTATTTTCCTTGATTTTGATGATCAGGCTCAGATGTCTTCCACGTGGCGCCAGAAGGTAATAATTTGGAAGAAAACTTCGGAAAGAAGTATATGATGCCCCAAGTTCCTTTTTCTAGCGAGTTAATTGGGATGGATTCTTTTATGCTTTGGGGAATATTTTTGGAACATTTGTGAAATTTTATATTAAAATTTATAAATTTAAACGATAAAATTATAAAAATTATGATAATTTATAAAATTTAAATTTTATTATAATTCACATTAAAACTTGTAAATTTGAAAGATTTATCGTAAAATTTAAAATTTCACACATTATTATTTAAGTTTATAATTTTATCATTTGAGTTTATAAATTCTAATATAAAGTTTCACAAATTATCGTATATTTCAACACAGTGTCAAAAAAAGTAGATATTTAGCTATTGAATCCTAATCTTAATGCTAAGTAAACTAAAAAGTAGATATTTAATTGTTGTTCATCATATATGATAGTTCTAAACAGTGAGTTTTAGTTTATTTTTTCTTTCATTTTTAAGTTTTAACTCATTCATTTTTTTCTTTTATTATTTTATAATTTATGTTCATCTTATGGGGTTTTTAGAACAATAAGTTTTCAGATGTTTTACTCTTTTTCCTTTTATTTTTAAGTTTCAACTCTTTTATTTATTTATTTTTTACTTTGTTATCTTATAATTAAAAATGTTTCATATATTTTTATAATTAAAGATAACAATTTAATTAAAATACTATTAACGTATACTTCTTTAAAAAAAAGAAAAGATTATGTGTGGGAAAATCAAACTCTGCATTTTATTGTGAAGTTAGTTGTGCAATGTTCATTAGGACAAGCATACTATCACTTAATACTTACTCTTTTTAATCTCCATTTAAAAATTTTCATCTATGTTTTTCCTACTTATTATTGTTTGTAGTTTAAGTTATAAAAATTTCCATTATAACTAAATACGTGCATCGCAAATACTAAAACTAGTTCTCAAGAAGTGACATGTTACAAACAATTTAATATGAGTGGGTCATTTAGAATAATTAAAATAAAAAATTGTAAAAAAAAAAAAAAATAGAAGTTTGAAACTAAATTAAGTAAATAATATATTTTAAAATTTTGAAATAAATAGCAGTAAAAGACGTTTTACCTCATAAATTTTTATTTATAACTGAATTTATATGGTAAAAAGATTTTTTATCTCGTAAATTTTTCTTTTTACTATTAGATTTACGTGATACAATACTTTTTACCACTTAAAATTTTTAATTTACTATTATTTATATGCTTTCATATTTTTGCCGCTTCTTGTGGTTTAGATTTAGAAAAAATTATAGATTCTACCTTCTTAAGTATCTAACTTACTAAAAGTCTCTTTTTAAAAAAAAAACTCTACTTTTGACTAGTTTTAATAAAAAATGTAGAAATATATAGGCTAATGCTAAAGGGAAAGAAATAAAAAGGGGCTCCATTATAATGGGTATTTTTAAATATTACCCTTAGATTTATACCAAGTTTGTTGACCTTTCATTGATCTTGTTCAGTCGCACAAAGCTAAAGCTCTAATATCCGTGACACGAATATAAAAAGGGAGAATGAAGTAAATAGCAGACTTTTAAAACTAAATTAAGTAAATAGCATATTTTAAAATTATTTAAAATAAATAGCAGTTTACATGGTAAATGAATCATTTGCCACGTAAATGATTCATTACGATTAGTAAAAATATTTTTTTACATAAATTTTCTTTTTACTACTAGTAAAAAGATTTTTTTCCACCAAAGTAAAAAATGTTTAAGATTTTTTACCACATAAGTTATTTTTTACCATTTATAAATGATAATTTAATTTACCACATAAATTATTATTTATTTTAAATAGTTTCAAAATCTGCTATTTACTTAATTCAATTTAAAAAATATGCTGCAATTTCCTAACTGAAAGTGAGGTTGTTTATAACATTTCTCAAATTTCCTAAAAAAAAGAAGAAGAAATGACACAAGTATAAACACTATATATGTTTAGAAAATAAATAAAAATGACACGAGGATAAACAATATATATATATATATATATATATATGTATGTGTATAGAGAGAGGGAGTAAGAATACCAAATAAATCGCTAATGGGGTCAACGACTGTAGTCATCGGTGATCATCTGTATCCTACTATGATACTTAATGGTACGATTGTGATATTAAATTTTTTTACAACCAAATAATAGTAGGATGACTATTGTTGGTATTCTACCATGATACTTAGAAGTATCTCACTGCAATACTAAATATTTAAGCAACCGGTGATAGTACCACTAGAATCCTACCGCAATACTTTAGAGTTGCTACCGGAAAATCATGATGGCCATCTTAATGTGGTATTTTAGAATTGTCGGTCAAAGAATATCAGGTTATGTTGTGTAGCTTGTATTATATTGTATTGTATAAGACATATAGTATTATGTTGTATTGTACATAGGTCTAAATATAAAATTTTTAAAATTTGAGTCAAAATGTAATTATTCAAAAATTTTAAGGTCAAAATGTAATTTTTTAAAAGTTTTAGGGTCAAAATATAATTTTTTAAAAGTTTTAGAGTCAAAATGTAATTTTGTAAACATTTTAGGGTCAAAATTTAATTTTATAAAAAGTGATGGGTCAAAAAGTAATTTTTAAAAAATATAAATTTGCATTGTGGCGCTTAATTTTAAAACAATTATAGAATCCTAGTATGACTCTATGTCAGTCCGACTCCGAACCTAATCGTGCTCCACCTCGACATAAATTATGAATCTGTTATAAAATAATATAATACAATATCTGTAAAGTTTACTTTTTAAAATATTGGTTTACTTTCTCTTACACCAATTGTTCCAGATTTATACACTTTAAAAATAATTCAATAATTTTCTCTTTCGATAATTATGTTCCTTGCGGAAGGAGAAAGTGCTAGATTTGGGTCAATGCTTATTGTGGAAAGTCGGCACAACATCACGGGTCGGGAGGGTAAGGAAGGAGAGAATGGAAAATGGGAAAGAAAGTAAAATAGGTTTAGATAGTGCTGAACTTTCGGGCAGTGGGCCTGCCCGATGCCCGAAAATTTTCGGGCACGGCGGGCAGGCCCCTCTCGCCGCCTGAAAATGCTTTTCTTCGGGCACGGGCTCGGGTAGCCCGAAAAGAGTAAGCCCCCCGACAACCCGTCGCCGTGGAGAAGCCGTCCCCCGCCGTTCGCCGGATTTTTTTTTAATTTTTCGGCAATACCCGAAGCTGCCCGAATCTGCCCGAATTGCCCGAATTTTTTGTGACCGTTGCCCGAATTTTGCCCCGTGCCCGAAAAATGCATGATTTTTTTTTACCGTTAGCCCGAAAAATGCCCGAATTTTGAAAAAAAACGGTCTTCTGCCCGAACCCGAATTTTTGAACCCAACGGTCGGATTTTGTGCCATTGCCTGAACTGCCTGAAAATTTTGTAGCCGTTGGACCCGAATTTTTTGGGGAAAAATTTTTTTTTTCAACCCAAAAATTTTTCTATAAATACCCCCCCTCCCCCCAACCATTTTCCTCACCCCAAAACTCTCATTCTCTCTCAATTTCTCTTAATCTCTCTCAAATCTCTCTTAATCTCGCTTAAATCTCTCTCGAATCTCGATCTCTCTTAAGCTCTCTCAAAGCGCTCTCAATCTCTCTTATTTTTCATAATGGCTTCTTCTGGTTATGGTGGTGATATTCCCATTGATGCCCAATTCAACATCGAAGAAGGGCAATTTCCTAATGTTTTTCAATCGCCGGAATCGTAAACTATGGAAAGAGTTGCTGATCAAACTGCAAATCCGACCCCTGGTGGACGTACTAGAGGTCGGGGACGCAATGGTGGTGGCACAAGTGGCTGTGGCTGAGAGGCAAGCGGTAGTGCTAGTGCAAGTGTTGCAAGTTCTAAGATAAAATGCAAGCGCACCTCAGCAGTTTGGGAGCACTTCAACACATTCAAGGACGTCGACAATAACAGTAACATTAAATACGTAGCTCAATGTAAATATTGTGGTGAAAAATTACAAGGTAACACTATTCAC